ATGCTTAATCAATGATCAACGTCATTACTGAACGATGTAAATTTTGAATGTTCATTTATATACAATTTAATGTAATTCAAGAAAGAAAGTATCTTATGGTTGCAACGCCAAACATCGTATTCGTATGTTGGAAATTCCTGGGATGATGATTCATTGACAGTATGATTTATTCCAAGTACACAAGCACACACGCCTTGGCACATTACTATTTAGAACCTTCATTGTTGTAAAACGATGCACCGTACGAAAGAGTGCATTGAATTGCTGTGTGTAAAGTAATTAATAAAAATTAGTTAAAAAATCTAGTCTCATATATGAAAGTAAATTTTTTTCCCAGGAACGCGCGGTGTAACAAATTCTATAAAAATGGAATACTTTATATATCTATGGAATATTGGATAGATTCGTAAATGCATCGCACACATAGGCGCATCGCGGTGACAAATTCATGTCAATACTATTCTTACACAAGGATGAAATTTTCTATAAATATTTCGTAGGAACTGACTTGCCGTTGAAGAATGATTCGCGTTTTTTTTCTTTTATAAAACATTCTGTATAAATTTCACAAATCGGTATGAATCGCTAAATAATTACCTAATAGAAATAACATTCAGTCCCATTCTTTTTGTTGCATTTTTTTTTACAATGTAATCACTCCCCGTAGCAGGAAATAGACTATTAAATTATGGATTCGTAAAACAACGTTTGTAAGATCAAGTCCTACTCGAAATTAAATTTTCGCGAGTTATTACCGTTTGAACTATTCGTTTAAATATATATATATTTATAAATATAATATGTATATATATATATATAGAATTATTCAACTACCTACAGGGTGATGCAACAGATCACTCTTCAGGATGATGGATCGTATACGTGACAATGTTGTAACGATAACTCTCTTTTTTCTCTTGTAAGAAATTTCCGATAATGTTACACGTGAGAACTGAAACTATTTTATGTTGGCGAAGGGTTTCACATTAACAAGGTTATGGTCGAGCGTTCCCTTTGCTTCACCCTATATATGCGGTTGTCATACAATAACAAATTAACAATAATTCTAAAGCTTTGGAGTGATTTCCTTATTAGCTGTGACTTACTTGCTAATGATACTTCTTCTACTGCTACATCTAACGAATACTGTCCTATCTATAAGTACGTTTAGACAAAGTCTGTTGTAGGTGAATGTTAAAAAGAGGCTATAAAGCACAAATACTAAATCTCCTGCTGCTGAGTTATGCGCGGGATGTAGACGGGTAACTTGTACGATGTCGTCTATGTACATACGAACTAATATTTCCTCGAAGTTCTCCTAAAATAGAAAAACAAAAAGAGAAGATATGGAGCACAGTGAAATCAGAAACGTCAAGCTCTCACCCTCAACTCGACATTGTTATTTACCTTAATGCAAGGCACCTCGTTGTTAGCTATCACTTGTGGCAGTTTCGTTTGCCGTCTTATTGTTAGGTGCAAACTGTTGACTAATACCTGTCGAGACGGTTTGACTGGGGTGAATAACAGGTCCCACCGTTTGGACTAAATTACAGGTAACTGGTACCATCGGCGGCAGATTAACCGAATTGTTCATGGGACTGATATTACAAGATAACGAGGGTCGTTTCCTTTCTAAACTATTCGTCGCCATTTGTCGTCTGGTTGTCGAGTTACGCTCGAGACTGTTGGTGACGATGTGGTGCCTTCTTTCTAAACTTGAGCCACTACTAACGTCGGTCTGACTACCCTAAATAAATGAAGCCGACTGTTACAGCAATACTGGCCCTCCGACGTAAGATCTGTAACTCGTTTTAAGGCTGGCATTTTTACCTGCAAAGAGCGGTCCACCGACTGGCCCATCCTGTGCAGAAGATCACCGCTTTGGCTTTGTCGAAACGTTGTACCTTGTCGTTCAGTCGATTGGCTTCTCCTCAGAAACTGCTCCCCGGACTGGCTGGAACGGATGCGAGCTTCCGGCGTGGACTCCTGCGGAACGCTGGCGTCGTTTTGCTTCTGGCAAATCTGGCTGTTCACGTAAGGGTAGCGAATGCGTATCGAGTCGATTACGTCCAGCAGATTCTTCGCGTTCATCGCCAGTATGTGGGCAGCTGAGAGCATTTGTCTGTAATCGGAGATCTTTTTAGCACTGTCATTACTTCACCATACTGGGAGATGTATATCCTTGAATATTTACTTTCGATACTCTGCGTCCAAAGTGGTAGCACTGTATTTCTGAGCTTGCCTCATAGCGGAAACCAGTTCGTACATGTCTTTACTAAGAACCTTGTGCGCCATTTCTACTTCCCGGTGAGCAGTTATGGGTAATATCCCCATCAAAGCGTCCACAGATGAAAGCAGTGCTCTCAGTTCGACGCCAACTTTGCTGACCAGCTCTAAATATTGTTCTGCCTTGCTCTGTTGTACACCTGCGATAGAATGTTGTTCAGTATGGCAGTTGAAATGTTATTAACCCGTTTGCATCATACGAGAAAATGGAAAATTGGTCAACAAATGTTTCAATTGCATCAAAATAAAAGTAGTTCGAAATAAAAAAAACCTATATAGCTACACGACAATTATAGCACTCATAAAATGTATCTTTCCCTTTTTTGTGATATACAAATTATGCAAGTGGGTTAAACGAACAGTTGAAGGTATACGTGTACCTTGGGAGAGAGACATGACGGCGCGAACGACGCTGGTCGTGCAATCATATACTTTGTCGTTGGTTCTATCTAAATCTGCTGTTGGCGTGGGTTCCATTTTCTATAAAAGAGAATTCATTTTACTGTATCATTCATGGACTACGCTATTATTTGAATGGAATATAATGCTGCCAATTACCTTTACAACGATCACTTTTTCAGTGCCTTTGTCAGAACCAAGCGAGCCAGTATTGGCACTGTGTTGATCATGATTCGGTGATTGTGTGACTGAGCGAGGAACTGGAGGACTGGCGCTCTCATCTCCACTTGTTGCAATTGACAAGCGTTTCTAAGGAAAATGGTCGTCATAATTGAGAGAGTTTTTGCATGATATCAAAGGAGGTCAATTATAGAACAATTGTCTGAAATTAGTTGTTACCTCTTCCCTGGCCAACCAACGACTATCCTCTTCCGACTGGCGTTGCTGCTCCAAGAGTCGTTGCTCGAGCAGCTTCTGTTCATCATCTATGCTGCTACCGAAATTCTCAGTGACGTTGTCGAACAACTGCGACTGCACGACCCTCTGCAACAAGATGAACCAGTCTTGTATCATTGAAATCCATTGGCACGCTTATTGGTTACGATTTTCTTAAATAAATGTATGTATATATATACGTATGTACACAGTAAAATTAAAGAGATGCATAATTCTCGATGCAAGGTAAAAAAACCAATCTCAGGACGAGAGTAGTGCAGTCATACTGGTCGCATGCAGCTCAAATTGTTACAACGTCCAACATTATTGGTATTATCATGTCCATTCGCCATGCAAACAAAAATGAGAAAAAAAAATAAAGTAGA